ATGAGACTTATTTAATGCTACATTGAGCATTGCTTGCTCTTTTTTAATTGTTCCAAGTTGATTTTCATATAACAATCCCCTTTTTTCATCCTTTAACTGTAAAATAGAGTTTGTGATGATGAAGGTCATTAGGCCTGATTGGTATGATTGCATTTAGTACAATGCAATATTTGGTTATTTAATTTAATTAGTTAGTACAGTATGAGTTTTAAGGTTCAAAGAGATTTTAAATGGGTGTCACTGGGGAAGGAAGAGAAACAAAAGATCTCTGGTCGAAAATGTTTGACAACACTTGGACTACTATAACAATAATGGTAATGCCTAATATTTTGACAGTAACAAGAATGATGCAATATATTTTGCAAATATCTATTGTGTCAGATCAAAGCAAAGAACAACAAAGCAGGTTTAAAGCAATCACTTATCAGTGATATATTAGTTATGTATAGGTTCAGTTTGAAATCTTTCAGAGAGAGAGAGAGAGAGAGCATTTCACTGGTTTTGCAGTTATAAAACAGTAATTTGGGAAGGTGATTGTGCAGACATCACTATTTTCCAAAGTTGAAGCTTGTGCTTCAAAAATTAAGCCTGTTACTATCTTAAACAGATTAGACATTATTAATTGAACTTTCAAGGAAATATTCATTTTAAATAGAAGTGAATCATTTTATATACAATCATTTTTAGTAATTTTCAAGCATCAAGATTTTACTCAGAAAACTTCGGAAAAGAACTATTAATGTGGTTTTAATTACTTACATTCAGACTAATATCCTCATCTTTGTTATCACAATGTCTCAGCTGTTGTGCTCTACAGTCTACTTAAGGTGTCTGTCAATCTTCAGAGCCTTCTAGGAATTTTAAACTGAAATCTTTAATTAATCTTGGTGTGGGGGTGGGGGTAGATTGTTCTCGTTTTGCTGCTCATGTTTAGGGATATTATATTTTGAACAGAGTTATTGCTTGCTCTGTTTTAACTGAAATCTGTACCACCTCACCCAGGGATTGAACTCACAATTACTATATCATAAATTTGCTGAACCAAGAAACACAAGATTTTTTTGAATGTGCTAGAAAGGATTAAAAAAAATAAGATACTTTGATTTTTCTCTTAATAATAACAAGCATTTTGATGATAAAATTTTGTTTTTATCAAGTTTGGGACTTTTTTTCATCATGATATGCTCTTTAGAAAATTTTTGGAAGTACCTAATTTAAACCATCAATTTGTTTTTGTCAAACAGAAACACCATTTACCAAAAATTTGCTCTGAATTGTAAAATAAAAAAATGCAATAAAACTATGACATTATTTAATTAGAAAAGCTTTTAATTGCTTTTATAAATAAGATTTATTAAGGACACTATTGTCTTAACAATTTTTTTTCCCCATGTATAATGAATTTTTACAGGAATCGTTTTCATTTTTTTTAAATTTTAATTAGAATTATTTTAGTATGCTGAGTTTTTGTAAATATGGCACCCATACACAATGTTATCAGAAAATATGAGCAATAACTATAAATTTAAAGCCAAAATTTCTAAAATTCAATAAAACATTAGATTACGGAGAATATTTTCCTAAATTTTTAAGAATTCTTAAGTTATATATAAAAAGTGCTCATGTTATATTTAATTATTCTTTTTATGGTGAAAGCCCACATAAAACAACATTAGATAAACAACCATCTGTCATCAAGCTGTGAAACACATCAGTAGTTTAAATAAACAGCTACTGTTGGGTTATAAAAAAAGTATTTAAACTTAAAGTAAATAATAGTTATTTCAAATCAGATTAATTATACCAACTAATATTTCCCAAAGTTTCAGAAAAGTATATTTTATTTTTGGAAGATGATTTTTTTAATAAAGAAAATTAGATTGCAATAAAAGATATCAGAAATATTAAATCTATAAGCATGAAATTAGAACTAAAATAAAAGCTTCAAGAAAGATTTTTCTTTTAAAAAAAAATTCATTTTAAAAACCTTAGGTATCGTGTTTTCTGTAATGCTACCTATATAGATAGATCAACTAAAACAAAAATTCTGAATGACATATGTTAGTGATAAGAAAAATAAAATTAGCAATCACCAAGAAACCTTTTTATAAGACCACCAAGTGTATTTTTAGTCACAATACATTTTTTAAACGACTTTTTAGTAATGAAATCAGAGGTATTGCTAAAATCATGTTCACTTTCAGCATAAACTCACAAAAAATATAATACTAACTCTCTAATTTGATAAATTTACCAAAAATCAGGAAATTATCTGATTTCATTCAAATTTTCAACATTTTTAATTAATGAATGAAGTTTCATTGAATCTTTAAAATTTTGTTGAAGTTTTTTTTTCCCCAGTTCACTTATCCCACTTTACTTAAATCGCAGTGCAGATAATCCATTCTAGTGAATTTGGATTTTTCTTCATTTTTACAAAGATAAATCACCAAAGATTTTTATCATTAGAAAAATTATTCAATAGTGAACATGGACACATGCACACACACACACACACACACACACACACAAAACAAATAAACCTTAAAACCTTAAGAAAAGAATTTGCTAAAACTCAAACAAAAATTATTTTCATGGACAATTATTGACACCCAGTTTTAATAAAATATGCTGTATATTTTTTGTTTTAACAGGAAAAACAAAAATCTGTTGATAAATATTTATTTGTGAAAAATTGATGTATTTTTACAGTATGATTTTAAAACTTTCGGTTCTTGATTGTTGCTGAAAAACTGGAAATAAAATAAAGATGTTTTAAAGAATAAAAAAATGTAAAGTAATGCCATAAGATTTTTAAAAATTCTTTTTTTCATTTTAAACCTGTTTAATTTTTTTAATCTGCAGAAGAGCAAAAATGAAAATCAAAAAATAAATTTCTGAATTATGTCCTTGACTAACACTCTTTCACTATGAAGTTTAATTTTTTCATAATGTTTACTCAAAACACATTTCATTTATGCATTTCATTTTTCTTCAGTTTCCACTTGTTTTTACTGTTATTTTTTAGTTTCTTATACTTAGGATTTCAGGAATTTAAAAGATAAAAGAAAATTGTTCTTTTAAGTTTATTATTTCATTTAAATAATTTTTAGTCATAATCTTTTTCTAATATTTTTGCTATCCATGGTCATGAATTAAAAAGAAGAAAATTGAAACTTATTAAAAATAAATAAAAAAAAATAATTAATTTCATTAACATGAAATAATAAATTTTGAGAATTTCTAATATTTTCACAACATAAATGTTTAATTTTACATTCCTGGACCTCTGTATTTAATTTATAGCCTGATTTTTTTTAAATAGGGACAGGGTCATAAGAAAATTATTGTTTGCCCTCTGAATGTGTCAACAAGTGAGGACATATCCTGCTTGGGAAAATGTATTTTTCATATTACTTTTTTAAACAGAAAGTATCATTTTCACAAATTCTATTTCACTAATCCTTAAATTTTACTATTTTTCTTTGAAACAAATGCCTGGGACAAATATTCAATTTTTAAGAGATTTTTTTTTTTTTTTTAGATTTTAATTTCTCTTTTGTTGGCATCCATCAAATTACCTAATCAAACTGGGTGGAAGTAAGTTTGTTTTCACTTTGTCTTACAAATGTCTAAAATCCTTATTTAAATATGTAAAATTATTATTATTATTATACTTTTTTTTTAACAGATGAACAGGCAATTATCCTTCTCAATAAAACTAAAATTTAACAGCTTTAAAAAGACATTTAAATTATTTAAAATGTTTTTCAAAGTCTTTTTGTTAAATCCATGGTGGTACCTATGAAACTGTAGGGGTCAGATACCCTCAGCAATTTATATTAAACACATTTGCCACAAAATATAAAACAAGAAGAAACAAAGGAAATTCAACAAGTTATACAAGTAAATATAATTTACATATAACATTATAACAATATGTACAAAACACGAATTCTGAATGTGTTGAAAATGCTGAAATTTACTTGTCCTTTTGGATTTGTGAGTGAAAAAATGTTCTTGTTGATGAACTGCAAGTTATAGTGTAAAGTGTATGAGTCTGGAGAATTTCAGTTAAATGTAGTGTTATTTGTATGTAAAATAAACAGTTTAAAATTTTGCAAAAAAAGATGTGCGTGGGTGTGACTCATTTTGTGATGTTTTGAGGTCTGTCTTTGTTGTTTGCATTGAATGAAGAAATATAGACTGTAGTTGTGTTAAAAAAATATTTTAACGTATAGTCTGGACTTCAGTGATGAGTGTAGTCATGGAGTATATTTGCTTTTTTGCACAAATTTTCTCCAACTCCCTTTTACTTAATTGTTTTTTTATAAGCAATGTAAGCCATGTGATAGACTCAAGAACATGTTTAAATTATTTTGGTATGCTGTACCTTGAATAAGTCAGATCAAGGTCAGGAAAGGAACTTTATTGAAAGGAGTTAAAACAATTTACATTTTGAATAATTTTTGCAAATAGAATTTTGCTAAATTCTTGAAGGGTATATTCAATATTTTCTCATGTTACACTTGCTTGTGTTGTAATGTTTAAATAAATGTTATTGCTGAATTAACACTTTTCTCATATTATCTTTATGAAGTGTTCAATCTCTTTAAGTTGCAGTTGTTACAGTACAAAAAAATAATAATTTTTCTTTGTATTCAGCTCTTTAAATCAGTTGTTCTCGAACATTCTTTTTCTCTGGGCTGCATTTTCAGAATGAAAATTTGCTCATGCCTCACCAAATTTTATGGGATAAAAAGTGTATTTAAAAATAAAAAGCAGAGAGAGAGAGAGAGAGAGAGAGAGAGAGGGCTAAAGGGAGATAACCTCGGATTCAAAGTCAAAACATTATCATTGATAACTCTCTCCTCCAATTTGCAGTGCCTAGCTACTATATTCTTAATAATTGATATAATGTAGGTACCTCCATGAGATTGCTAAAAAAAAGAGCATAGCATGATGAAAAAGACACCAAATTTGATGAAAACAAAATTTTATTGTGTAAATGTTTATGTTATTATTAAGAGGAAAGATCAAAGTTTATTTTAATTATTTTTTTAAAAATTTTTCCTTCTTTTTAGAACATTCTAAATTTTGATTAAAAAAAAAAAACTTGTTTCTCTTTGTATCACCGGAACTAATAAAATAACATACAATTTTTAGCACATTTTTATTTGTGTGCCACACATTAATTTGGAAAATCTTGCAAAAATAAAAATAATTCTCGGATGTTAATGAAACTTTCAGAAACTATTCACAGATGATCAAAATTATTATAAATATTTTTTTTTTTTTTTTTTTTTATTAAAGTCATGGCAGAAATATATTTTTTTTATATTTATTACTAATTTTATGAAAACGCTAGAAATTCGATCGCATCAGGTTTAATGATTACAATAGTTAAAAGCACAAGGCTTTGAGGAATGTAAATCATGTTTCTTTTGTTTTTAATTGGACCCTCACTACCTGAAAATCAGCTATGAATTGTAACATACAAAACTCAATAAAACAAATATATTATTTAATTTCAAATGCTTTTAGTTGTTTTTATGATTATGAAAGCAGAAAATTTTTTCAATAAAAAATGAATTTTAATACAATTATTTTTTATTTTTTTGTAATTATAATAGATTTTACATTTAAGTTGTTAAAATATTATAAAATTAGTTAAAAGCCACATCGGGTTTCCTAAGTGTCCTTATGAGATAGATCTTTTTTTGGTGCGTTGTAAATTGTATCATTTTGACTAATCAGAAGATCCGCAGTAATTAAGAAATGTAATTTTGTGTTTATAATCGGACAGTAATTATAAAGTATGGAAGACCAACCAGAATACAATTAAGTTGCGTTATTTGAGTTAAGAATTGTTCTCTGCTGTTAAGGTCTTTACTTTTGCGAAACATGTGTGAAGAAATTTGATTTTTCAATTTCAACTGAGAAGAGTACCTACAAGTATCAGCATCATCTTATGAAATTTATATGATCTTACTTTTATATTAATCTTAGTTATGACATTTTTCCATAAATGAAATATCAAAATTAATAAAATGAATAGAAATACAAATAACACAGTAAAATGTAATAAATGTACATAAATTATAGTATTTTATGTACACTTCTGATAAAATTTTTTAAGAAAGGTTCCTATAAATTAATTAGATACCTGTCTTATGAAATATGGAATTTAATCTCAGTTGTAACAGTCTTATTTTAATTTCTTTATAATATGTTTTCCATAAAGCATCGTAAACGTAAAAGTGAAAGCTAAGTACTAAAAACAAAAACAAAAATTAGAGCGCTGAAGGTTTTCCTTAAAAATAAATAATTTGTTCACTTAAATGTAAATAATTTCACTTTTCTCCTTCCGTAGAACAAATTATCCTTATGGAATCTGTGAATATGTCATTCATCACCTGTCAAGTGACACGAAAGTTTATGACCTGCTTTGTTTTATTTTCAAATTACATCTTTTTGGCGCAGAAGCTAAGTTTTGGTTCAAAATATTTTAAATAAACATTATAATTTCTAATTTCCTTAAAATAAGTTTTGAAAAAAAATGATAATTGATATTTAAAAGAATTTCAAAGGGAGATTTTCAGTTTTTTTTATAAAATGGAAAAAAATGGTCAATTTTGCTGACTCAAAAAAAAAAAACAAGATTTTTAACGAAAATTTCGGACGTGTTAGGAACGATTAAAAAATGTAAAAAAATACCTCTCAAATACTTTATCTTTCCTCTTAATAATAACATTTAGACGATAAAATTTTGTTTTCGTCAATTTTGGCGTCTTTTTCTTCATGCTATGCTCTTTTTTTTAGCGATCTCGTGGAGGTACCTAAATGCAAAAATATCACAATAACAAAATCGGTCAATAATTGGGACTCATGCATGCAATTTTATTTTAAATTTTGAAATCATATTTATTCTTGGCATATGAATTTTTAAAACTGTTTCTAAATCTTTTATTGTCTTTCAATCGTTCTGCCTCACCAGCTATCCTTTCGCCACACCGTTTGGGAACCACTAAGCGAGAGTTATGGTTGGCTAACCCTGCTGTAACCTTTCTTAACCCTAAATACCGCTCGTCTGTTTTAGTTTTTTTGTTTTTTTTTTACATATTGTTTATTGACGTAAAGCGTCAAACCACAAACGGGATTTTACATACTAACTAGACTTTTTTTTTTTAGTTTGGTGATCATCAATTAACAGAATTGTAAAAAAAAAAATATCGACGTAATCATTAAATTTTAAAATATTCTTTTAAAATTTACATTTTATTTTTAACTAAACTAAACATATTGCTAATTAAAAATTTTACACAGTATTCAAAAAAATAGACATGCATTTGATAATCTTTCTTCACCATGAATCGATTTACAACGGGATTCCTACCTCACTTAATAAAAAAATAATTTCCATTCTGACAAACTAAACATCACCATACGCCAGAAGACCTCCAGTGAATGAATCCTAAGCGACAAAAAAAATTAAAAAAAAAAAAAAAAAAATTGAAAAAATTTTACCTGATGCTTCAATAAAAAAAAGAATACCTCCAGAATCAAAAACCATGTTTCTATTCTAGTGACTAGACAAAAACGATAAGACTAGAATCTCTAATCTAGTCTACTCGTTTTCTACAAATTGCTTTACCATGGAGCGGTGTGACGAGGAAATTAAGACGGTTCGTGTTCTATAATCCTACATTTTTTTTAACAATTTATTTTTTGTTGGCCCTTCATCAGAGAAATAGGTTCAGCAGTGCATAAGCTTTTTGTTGTTAGTGTTACTGTTAGTTTTTTATTTTGCCTTTCCGTTTCTGTGTTTATAAGTTTCATGGACCTGAGAAACATCATCCAAGTTAGAAGCAAAATGAAATCATTTAGAAAAAAAAAGTAAGGGCTCACGCAAGCGGCAAGACGTATTCAGCTAATAAAGTTTGGGTGGATGGTGAGTACAAAATAAAATAACAACTCTCAGGTATTATAGTACTGCATTGATTGAGATTTTTTTACGGAACTAATTTTTTTTTTTATAGATGTCGAAAACATGGTCAACAAAGTCGAATTTAAGACACCTAAATAGGCAATCTATTAAGGAAAAACAATTCGTTAGAGTAGGAAAATAGATCACCAAGATGATAATAATAATAAGGGAAGACATGCGCACTAAAATCTGAAAGTTTTTCATTTAATTTTTGCGATGCCGCCATCTCCAACACAGCTTGTTTTCATACGGGCACGTGAAAAACCATAACAATAGAGCATATGACCAAATAAAACAAGGAAAAGTGGCAAAATAAGCAACTACTTACGGTAAGCAAACTCTAACATTTGATTAACGCATCTAGGTTCATAGTCTTGTACTCCCATATCCTTTAAAATAGCTGCCATTACCTGCGCATCACGAGGCGTACTCTTTGGCACCGCCATTTTGGAAACAGAAGCTAATTCAAAGTAACGGAAGTGACGTTTGTAACACGTGACAAAGGTTAAACTATAATGATCAAACTAATCTCGCGTGCAAGCAGTAAAATAAAAATTAATTTGGGTTTCTATGGTGACAGAGCTAGTGAAAATTTGATTTACTGTTTTTTTTTTAATTTTTTTTTTTTATTGCAATAGTTATTAAATATTATGCTTTAATTTTACCAAATTAAAGATTTACAAAAGATAATACAAATTAATAAACGGATTAGTAATTATTAATTTAATTATCATGTAAAACAGTAAAAGTAAAATATCTTCAAGTTCAACTTTCCATGTAGTGTAAAAATAATGAGGACACTAACGGGGTATTTTTTAAATGCATCTTACTTTCTCTTGATTTTTTTTGCATGCATAAGTTTTTGTTTTCTTTTATCCACTATATTCTTGTAGCGGGCGGTCCAGTGGCCCCGTATCACGGAAAGGGGTGAACGAGGTCACAAGAGGCCCGCTAACATTTTTGATGACGTTAAATCTGACCGTGAAACAATATGGACGACAGAACGAGGATATATATGATATATAGCAGGTTTATTCTAAAAGGAAAAGGAAATGAAGATGGTCGGAAACGGTGGAGGTGCTGGAAGCTGCAGGAGTGAGCTGGATGCTGCAGGAGTGAGCCGGATGATGCAGGGGTTCTGGATACTGCAGGAGTGAGCCGGATGATGCAGGAGTTCTGGATACTGCAGGAGTGAGCCGGATGCTGCAGGAGTGCTGGATACTGCAGAAGTTTTAGTGCAGGCATTGATGGTCGAGGTTGGCAGTTGCTAGGATCATCGTTGTTGGAAATTGAAGCTGATGTGGGTTGTTGGGGTGCCAACTTGTTGTTGTAGTTCGTGTTGCCAATTTTTCGTTGTTTGTCATTGCCGGGGTGCCAACTTGTTGCAGCAGTTATATTGTTGCCAACGTTGTTTGTCATTGCCTGGATGCCAACTTGACGTGTTGGGAAGGAAGAGAGAAAAGAAAGTTCCCAACTATCGCCAAGTTGGCAGACAAAAAGAAATGGGGCGTAACTTAATACACAGCCCGTAGATGTAGGCGCCCTTGGCCAATGATGGCCAAGGGGCCTGTGTAAACGATCGTTCGACCCGCCGACAGCCCCCCAAAGCTTGGGAGAAATCACTGTCTTGTGACGCGGGGGACCAGCAAGGAAATTGGCTAAGCTAACCGAAAAGTCTATAATAAAATGCTACGAGGTTAGCTAAAGATAACTAATGTCTAAAAATGACTAGATGTATATTACAACTAGGTTTGTAATATAGCCTAACTAAAAAAGGGGATTTGCTAGTCCCTCTGACGTGTTAACAGTGTGAGGAGTATGAATGAGAGGTCAAGGTCGAAAAGACCTGTTCCTCTGCTGGTTCAAGGACAGAAGGAGGAGGTAACTCCGACATTCTTATAATTTATCTTAGTTCCAGAATAAAGTTTCACAGATTGCATGAACTGAAAAAATAAAAATGGATGCATAAAGTTTAAAGGAATTAAATACTATTTTTCAACCAATAAAATCCCATCAGAAGGTTTGTTTGATAAACAATCATTACTAGGGTAAATACTGCCAAAATACTTGTGGACATAGTTGTAGACCAACGACATGTTATTTTTGGACCATTTAGAAAATAATAACTCCCTTCACCACTCCTGACAAATTCAAGAAAAAGGTTTTTGTGAGTCTGTGTAAAATTATTTTCTAACTAATAAAAACCTTATATTCAAAAAGTTCACACCTTTATGTGAAATTAGATTTTGGATCTCCCTTACAGATATAAGAATAGACGCCTACTGCTTCTAAGAGCTCAAAACAATTTTGAAGGCCAGTTTGAGCTACACATGTGTACACACACACAGACACACGCACACATTCACACAATGGAAGAGATGACAGCCAGCAGCTGCTGACTAAGGCCTTGTCCATGCACACAATAGCAGGGATTAACTAGCAGCTGCCAACTAAGACTTTGTCTACAAATTCACAAATACATTAGTAGGACCATCATAAAGTAAGTCAGTCCACACATTTCACATGACACTAATTACTTGGTAAAACAAACACAAACTTCACTGCAAGAAAAATTGAACATTTTATTGTTATTAAATATTTCTGGGAAGAATATATAAATGTTATTTTAACTGTCATTTTGCTTCTACTCTTCCTTCAGAAAATAACCTTTTTTCATGTTTCAGTTAAAAGATTGTTGTTGTTGTTAAATGTTTGAAATCCTGACACTCAGATAGCAACAAAAACCTGAGTAGACAGATCCCAACAAGTTCCTGAAAAATCTATATTATATAAAAGAAGAGCTGATTCTTTGTCCGTCACACACTGTAACTTTCCATGCTCATATGAAATGTATATGTGTATGTTTGAGTTGTGCATAAGTGACTTACATGTGCTTGTGCCATTTAATATACAAGGGTTGGCTGAAAAGTTCGAAGGCTGTCTATGAACAATTGATGCTAGAGCTGTGAAATCTTGCATGCATTAATTTCAACATTATTTATTAAAAAGTAAGAAAATAATTGTTTCTTTCCTGGTAAACTGATATCTGACTGTTCAAAGAAGACTTCAAAAGTGACTAGTAGCAACATCTCTTGAAAATGGACGAAATATGTCATCATGGTTTTATTAAGTACTTGCATAAAAAGGGGTTAGATGCCAAGGACATTCATACGAACATGGTTGCTACATTAGGGAATGATGCTCCAGTGCATAAATGAATAGCTGAATTTAGGAGAAGGGAGAGGCTTGAAGATGCCCCAAAGTCTTGTTGTGGACATGCTTGAAATTTGGCCTCATAGAATAATCTCACAACAATAAAATTAAAAATAAAAAGACATAGATAATAACAAATTACATGAGTTTATATACCAACAATGAGTTTATATACCAACAATGAGTTTATATACCAACAATACAATAAGTTGGTTGAAAGAGTTAAATGAACATAGTCTCTTGTATGTTAATAATGTTCAAAGAAATTATGGGAACTGAATTGTGCAGTTATGTAATAATGGTTAAATTTGATGATGTAGGTGTGTGTGTGTATGTATGTGTGAAATATTAATGTAGAAAAATGAATAAATAAAATGATTCTTTCTTATGGTGTTCAGTGGTGATACAACAAGCTTCTATGCATGAGTACAAGTGTGGGTGTATTTGGTAGCAGCAGACTGTCAGACATGGACAATGGGGGAAATAACTATGACTGACCTTCTTCTTAAGCTGGTTCTATGCCTTTATTTGTACTGGAGCCCTTGACAAGATCGGCTCCAAATTAGTCTTTTTTGATCTTGGTGGGTGGCTGCCTGATAGATTGAAAGAACTATATTCTATTTTTTTAATGCTAACTGGAATCTGCATGGAGCCTATGTGCACACAGACAAATTTTCATCATATAGCTTTCAGTCACAGAAGTGTTAACTTCCTGTCTGGCTCCCACAGTCTGGACATCCTGCAACTGCCACCAGCAAGGAAAATATTGATCATATTTACCACATAGGGATGGATGACAGATGATTGACTATAAATCAAATAGCCAATGCTATTAGCATATCCAGTGAGAAAGTTGAGAATATTCTGCACAATGAACTTGGCATGACAAAGATTTCTGTTCGATAAGTGCTATATTTTCTGACACCTGATCAAAAGTACACAAACTGATCACATCATGGGGAAAACTGACATCATTTGAGGTAGTTTCAGTTGCTTTCTTTGAATGTTTTGTGACCCAGGATAAGTGTTGGGTTCATCACTTTGAGTCAGAGACAAAGAGACAATCCATGCAATGGAAACACCCCTCCTCACCTGCTCCAAAAAAGACCAAGGTCATTTCATCTGCATGGAAGGTGATAGCCTCAGTTTATTTGGATGCAAAAGACATTGTGTTTATTGACTATCATCAATGGAGAGTACTATACCAACTTGCTGAGGTAGTTATGAGAGGCTATCAAGACCAAAATGCCCAGAAAAACTGATGAAAGGGATCTTGTTTCATCAGGACAATGCTCCATCACACAAGTCCTTGGTTTCAATGGCTGCTGTGCATGACTGTAACTTTGAACTGGTTGATCACTGTTGCGTCGTAAATAGGAAAGGTTGACACACATATAGAAATTAAGAAGTAGTTTATTCTGGAGAATAATATGGTACATAGTTAAGAACACAGACTAATGTAATAGACAGTTAATCGTTAACTCTTCTTCCTCAGTAAGAGAGAATGCTTTTTAAATAGTCTTATATCAGTCCATCTTGTGGAGGTATTCAGCTACTCCACAACAATCACCCTCCCTATTCTCCTAATTTGACTAACATTGGTTCCTCACAATGAACAATACACTTGGCTGGGAACCGGTATCACATTGATAATGATGTCATATCTGCTACTGATGACTTTTTATCACCAACAGGATGAACAGTCTTCTTTGAACAGTTAGATATTAGTTTGCCTAGAAAGAAACAATGTAGTCATTAATAAGAAGAGTTGAAATGAATGCATGCAAGATTTTACAGCTTGAGTATCACTCCTTCATATACACAAGTGCATACAGACACAGACACGATTTGAATGTGTTTGAAGTGAGACATTCAGAACTTTAAGAAAGAACTTCACCAAATAACAGAAACCGCATCATTTGAGAACTTTCAACAACAATGAAAATGGATAGCACATGTAAATTGAAAAGAAAATAATGACAATCAAAATATTGTCCAACACTGCCTCAAACAAAAGTTTAGGAAGGAAGCCCTCATCAGTACTGGAAAGAATAATGACAGTTACTGGACTTAAGTAATTGTTTCCTGAAAAATTGTTTTAAGAGAGTGTTTATAAATTTCAACTGAAAGTAGCACTGACTGTTTGGTCAATGAATGCTGAATGTTTCCTTATAAGGAAACAGTTAAAGTTAACATTTCCATTGGAATACATTCCACTCTTACTCTAGGCAGA